TGTTCTCACTCAAAAGCTTTAATGAAAATCAGTGATCTCAACATTTTAAAAAAATCAAAGACTCTAAAAACTCTGGATCCTGACACGCTGCCAATGAGTCACTTTAGTTAATATAGGATCAGACATTAATGGAGGCATGAGAAACTGAGTGGATTTCTTATGTTAGTGTGTGAACAGTCACAATTCACAATGCTGTTTTTTAAAGAAATCATCTCTCCAACTGTAAACAGACTTTTAGTTAAAAACCAACAAACAAAGGCGTTTTCTGAAGCAGACATTTTCATTCTGACCTGTGATCAGATCAGACTGACAGACTGGAGATTTCTTCAGTCTGAATGGAACAGCATGTTTTTCTCTTTATCTGCTGAATGACATAAAATAATCACTAAAACCATTTAAAGTTCTCAGGTCTGAGAGGCTGAGGAGAATAACTGTGTCACATCAAAGTGAGATGAGATGAGCCTCAGATGAAGAACAATGTTGATCGGATCACATTCATTTCACATCAAATTCTTTCCATCCAGATGTTTAGTTACAGTTTGTGCTGAGTCTGTGTTTCCAGTGTGGATCAGCTGATGTGATTCTGGCTTCCTTTCCATGTTTTCTACCACAGACTTGCAGACTGTGAACTGTCAGAGAGTGTCTGTGAAGCTGTGGCCTCTGCTTTAAAGTCCAGCCCCTCCCATCTGAATGAACTGGACCTGAGTAGAAACATGCTGATGGATTCAGGAGGGAAACATCTTTCTGCTGGACTGGAAAGTCCAAACTGCAGACTGGAAACTCTGAGGTTAGTTCACTCTGTCAGCTTTTCTGGTTTCCTGATGATAAAGACTCACAGAGCTAATAACCAGAAGAGGGGAACTGGGTAAAACCCGGATTAAGAGAGAGGAACAAGAAACAAACATAACTGGCCAAAAATGAGGAAGTCAAACCATGAGTGGAACTATAAAACACAACTAAGACCAGACTGATACGGACAGGGAAACAGAGAATAACTTCAAACAACAAGGAGAAAACAAGCTTAACAAGATACAAACTGGGAACATAAGACAGAGAGAAACAATAAACCCAGAAAAAATTCACAAATGAATGTAAGCAGGAGAAAGAGAATTCTATTGTGTATTACTCTGACTTTCACTACAACAACTTTAAAGTAACTTAACTTATTTATTTTGATTTAATTTTTAGATTATATTATTTTTTCTATGCCATATATAAAAAATATTTGATCAAATTTTATTTCATATGTCGGAAAATCCGTATGTTGAGGCATCATAAGTAGAGGTGCTGCTGTAGTTTGATTCAAATAAATCTACATGATATCTTTTTTCTTAGACTGGAAGGCTGCAGGTTGTCAGAGACCAGCTGTTCTTCTGTGGTCTCAGCTCTGAAGTCCAACCCCTCCCATCTGACAGAACTGGACCTGAGCTGTAACCCCATCTCTGAGTGTGTGATGAAGGAGCTGAGCAGCTTTCTGCAGAGTCCACTCTGTGGACTGAAGACTCTGAGGTCAGACTCCAGGTTTTAGTGGTTAGTTCAGATCAGAGGATGAGCTGAAAGCTGTGCTGACATTAAATGGTTAACAGAAGCATTTTAAAGATTCCTACTGAGAATTTTTGTTTAAATATGATTTTCATTAGTTTTTTAGGTAAACAAAATGTCTGACCTTCAACTCCTACAGAGGGCTAAGTCATAGAGGGATTTGAGTGGAGCTGGGGGGTTTATGTGTGTCCTTTGTCACGTTTTGTAGGATAGACAGCTCTGTTGTTTCTGTCTGACTTTTAGTGCCCATACCTCTGGACTCATGACAACTGTCCACTCATGGGAGTGGCAGCTCTTGTGTGCACTTTGTGTGCATTGAAAGTCCCCGTGATTGGAGGACTACTGAGAGCTAGCAAAGCATTGTGTGACTTTTATTTTGGCGATGGCGTCTGGGGACTTATCACTGATGAAGACTAAGGGCTACTAGTGATTAATGTTTTGTATGACATTTAACATCATTTCGTCGATCGACTCCTGCACGCCCGCATATGCCTCTGGACTCACGCCTGTGGGAGAGCTGAGTGAAGCTGACACACCCCACACACTTAAAACATTCCTGCAAATAGATCAAATGATTTGTGTTGTAAAAAACGCTGTCTGTGTTACTTTTGTTTCTGAGGTATTAACAATCATAATTTTGGCCGGTGACGTCACCACTGGTGAGCAAACCAGCATGGTCTACCTTTTGAGTGTTCCCTTTGTTGTCGGTTGTTGTTTGAATAATTTTATTAATAGTTGACCACTAAAGTGGCGCATTACATTTCCCAGATGGTTTGGGATGGGGCCAAGATTTGACTCAGGCATTAATTTTGGAGTTGTCTGATTTTGTCAATGCAGGAAAGGACATAATGTAAGTCTCTTACTTCTCTGAAAAGCAGTTGGGCAATCAAAGTTTTCTTTTTTAATTAACTTGTCACAGCGGTGTTATTTAGCTGGGTTTTTTTGTCCTGTCTCCGTGTGGTCTCGACATTTCCTGTTTTGTTTTGATAAGTTACCCTCATCCCATTTCAGGTCACTTGCACTTCCTGGTGTGTCTTCTACACTTTAAAAGGAGAATAAACACTTGTGATTTTGAAAATTAACCTTATAAACGCTGGCAGTGCCCCCCCCCCCTAATGATTGTTCTGTTCAGCATGTGTTTGTGTGGATGGAGCCACTGGTGGAGCTGGCAGAGTTTAGAGCTGAGGTCACTGTGTCTTTATGAAGCAGCAGCATGTTGTCATTAATGTGAATGAGAGTTCTTTTTCTCTGGTTCTGTTTGACTGTTGTAACCTGCATCCTGTTGGCTTCAGCTCACATCTTTTATTCTTTATTCAGGTTGACGGACTGCAGTTTGCCAGAGAGCAGCTGGTCTTCTGTGGTCTCAGCTCTGAAGTCCAACCTCTCCCATCTGACAGAACTGGACCTGAGCTGGAACCCCATCTCTGAGAGTGTGATGAAGGAGCTGAGCAGCTTTCTGCAGAGTCCACTGTGTGGACTGAAGACTCTGAGGTCAGACTCCAGGTTTTAGTGGTTAGTTCAGATCAGAGGATGAGCTGAAAGCTGTGCTGCTCTTCATGGTAAAGTCTTCAGATAGAAGCTTCTGTTCTTTATTCAGATTGGAGCTCTGCTGGTTGTCAGAGACCAGCTGAATGTGATTGGACCCACAGTCACATCTGTGTGCAACATCTGTCTTTACAGGTTTTACTCTGAATGTGATTGGACCCAGATTGTCCTTTGCTCTCCTCAGACTGCAGTGGTGCTGCTTGTCTGGGACCAGCTGCAGGTCTCTGGTCTCAGCCCTGAAGTCAAACCCCTCCCACCTAGTGGAACTGTACCTGGATGGAAACTACCTGGAAAAACCAGCTGAGGACAGTCTGTGTGCTCTGGTGGACAGCCCTGAATGTCAACTGGAGACTGTGAGGTCAGCAGAGGGGGAGCTGGGCTGTCTTTTCCTGCCTCTGGCTGCAGGTTGAACACCCTCTGTGTTCTGCAGGCCTGCAGGGAGCAGAAATCTTAATCATGCAGAGATAAAAAGACCTCTCTGGTTATTTTGTGGGTGCATAAACAGCCTCGTGGCAACAGGGTTTTTTACTTCCAGAGTCCCCAGAGCTTAAAGCCTGAGCAGTTCCACTGTTCTAGATGATAGTTGTTTATCTTATTCAGCTCTTGAGTGAATGCTGGGATGGAGGAAGAATGAAGCTGTATGCAGACCAACCACAAGGGTTTTTAACCTAAAACTAAGTCCAAAACTCAAATGAACCTGAGAAAAAAAGGCAGATGCAGTACAAATCCAAGCCTCCAGGGGACACAATGACTTTTCGGCCTTCTATTTTTTACCAATAATTCTGATAATTGATCACTCTCACAGCCACAGGAAACTGGTTTGACCTTCTGATGTGTCTCTGGGAATCTATATTGGAACACTAGACTATTTGTCTGTTATATTGTTAATGAACATAGAAAAACAGACCACAGATTTAAGTTTGCACAAAGGTGTTTTGCCTTTTATTATAGGAATTATCACTCATATATGCAAAGAAATGAGGAGCGAAATGATCCACTCTGCCTGTAATTGCTCTCGGCGCCCCCTGGTGGTCATGCTCAGCTCTTATGGATGACTGAGATAGCTTTTTTTTTATCACACAAAGAGACTCAAATGTTTTATTTTGGGTTGTTTCCTGTCTGAAGTTTATTCTTCTTCACTGTCTACTTAACTTTGATGTGTCTTTTAAGATAAACTGGTTATTCCGGAGGGAATGATAGGACGGTGACAGACTGTATCTCTCTCTCTCTCTCTCTCTCTCTCTCTCTCTGTCTCTCTGTTTGCTTGTGTTTGCTCCACAGTTTTCATGGCTGGACGAAGAAATCCTCCAGAGACAAAAGCTGTGAGTGCCTGTCCACACCCAGCATTAACGGGGGAGTCTGTGCCGCTCGGGGTCATTAGATGGCACACTGTGGAGGCTTTATGTCAAAAAAGTCCAGCCTTCAGGAAGAGGGATGGGTGGGGACTGGACTTTGATTCTGGAGGGCAGAGGAAAGGATCACAAACAGGATATAACTCTAATTGGGCAGTTTGAAGAGGGAAAAAGCTGTCTAAGCTTCAGCTTTGATGTAACTGCTGAAGTTCAGGTCTGAGTCAAATCAAACTCCAGCATTCTTTACCTGGGATTTAGTCTTAAAACCTCTGGAATTACACAAAGAATCAAAAGCTCAAACTCTTGTGTTTGCATGTTTAAACAGTGTTTGAGGAGAAAAACCATTCGGGGTCAGACTGTCTGGTGTCACTCCTCTAATCCACCAAGAGTCAGATCAGAGTCTATAGGCCTAAAACATGTCAGCCTGATATCACGTTTAAACCATCAGCCAATAGCTGTTTCACTTAAGATTTTGATCTTCATTTCTCTGCTTTTCTTTAAGGTCCCAGACGGGAATCTTCATAGAGGGATATCCCAGGACTCCAAGCAAAGGACAGACTGTCTGCTGTCCGGGTGCAGTTCATTAATGGAGTCTCTGATTCTGTGCTGAACCAGCTGCTGGATAAACTCCTTCAGCACGGAGCTATGATTAATGAGGAGATGCAGACAGCAAAGACGAAGCCCAGAGCAGAGAAAGCTCGAGATGTGATTGATACTGTGATGGCTCTCGGGAAGGTTGACCCCTGCCTTTCCAGAGAGCTGAAGCTGTGGTGAGGGGCCCAAACCCTGACAATGGAGGCTGGTGGGGGTCTACAGCCACTCAGGGACTTTTGCACAAAATCAAATGTGGCCACAAAAAGTTCATTAATCTTTGAAATGCTGCAGCTCCATCTCGTACTGTAGTCCAAACACACGTTCAGACAATGACATTACAAAATTAAAATTAATTCAATTCAATTCAATTTCATTTATATAGCGCCACATCTCAACAACAGTTGTCTCACAGCGCTTTCCAAACAGAGCAGGTCAGACCCTACTCTGAAGTTAATTACAGAAACCCACCAATTCCCACCATGAGCAAGCACTAGGCGACACAGGCAAGGAAAAACTTCCTTTTAACAGGCAGAAACCTGGAGCAGAACCATGGCTCAGGGTGGGCGGCCATCGGCCTCGGCCGGTTGGGGGTGAGGGGAAAGAGAGAGCAAGAGAGAGAGGGCAAGAGAGAGAGAGAGAGAGAGAGAGAGAGAGAGACGGACGGAGGGAGCAGAGAGAGGCAGCCAACACAGCAACACGTAGACTAAATGAAAAATGGCAATGATATTAATACTAATGAT